TTGTTGTGTTCATGATCTTCTGCCAGCTGTTATTGCAAACTGGCTGCATCACCATCATCATCAGCATCATCATCATCATCATCATCATCGTCATCATCATCATCATCATCATCATCACCATCATCATCATCATCATCATCATCATCATCATCATCATCATCATTATCATTATCATCATCATCATCATCATCAACAACAACAACAACAACAACAAAGTAGTTCACAATCTTGCTGCGATCAGCAGAATCACCGATGTGGTCTCTAGTCTCCTCATGCTCATGCCATCTCATCAATATATTTACATATTTATCTGCACATTCCTTGCTCATTTCATCTCAAACTTGCTATCTGTTGCAGACTCGTGAAGTCTCTCCCCCCCCCCCCCCCTCCTTTTTTTCGTCCCCTCTTCCTCAAAACGTGTCCAAAGAATGTTGCCTGTTCGTTTCATCATCATCATCCCGTTACACTACGTGTCGTTGGGTCTTCAGTTTCTGTTGACTTCCTAATCAGCTCTCTCCACATTTAGCGGTCAGTTGCGATGGATTTCATGACTGCATGTCTGAGGCCTGTCCAGTCAGTCAGGTTCTGTAACCAAGTCTTTCTTGGTCTGCCTCTTCTCTTCGGGAGTCGCCGTGGCGGAGCGGCTAGACGCACGCCGCGGATCGGAAGGTCGTGGGTTCGCTCCCTGGCGCAGCCGAACTTTTCTTCAGAAATGACCTTGGCTCCCAGGTCGACCCAGCCTTGAGTGGGTACCAGGTGCAGTCCCGGGAAGTAAAGGCGACCGGCGTGATGCTGACCACATCACCTATCTTGTGCCGATTGATCAATAAAAATATAGGTCTAGCCCTATATGCCCTATACGCCTAAAGGCGTGGAAAAGGGTCCTTTGCTTTTTTTCTCTGCTCTTCTTTCCCTCTACTGAGCCTTGCATTACTGTAATTGAGAGGCCGTTAAATCTTATTACGTGTCTATACCACTGTATTTTTAGCCTTTTCACTGTACTTAAAAGAGGTTCATAGTTGCCAAATGTGCTGTATGAGTTTAATTTATGTAATTTACTTACGGCCAGGTGCCATCATTATCGCTCGAGGTCGTTTGCAGGACGTCGCTCTCATCGCAGCCTGCCTAAAAGAAACCCAGTCTCTCACCGGTTATCTCACCACGCGCCTGAAAGAAACCCAGTCTCTCGGCGGTTATCTCACCACGCCTACTTTCCTATCGAAGGTGTCTCTTATTTCCCCTGCCCATCTTCGTTCTGGTCATCCCCTGCCCCTCTTCCTGCACCAAGCCGTCCGCTACTATTGTTTCCAATCCGCCGCGGCACTGTATGTGACCAACACTTTTCTGATTCTGAGACAAGCTGTGGCATAATCGATTCAAACACACAGAGCTGGTCAGAACTCTGGTGATGGTGGGAGATGGCGAACTTTGGGTGCCACTAGGACCACAACTAAGATTACAGTAAATCCATTATTAATCGCCTCTAACTACATGCTTGTTAAGCAGCAGTGGGTCCATGCCCCCCTCCCTCAAAATTGGATCTCTGATACCACCCGATTTACTGTAAACCATTTATGTGGAATTTATAAAATGCCAAACATAAAGTGCAAGGAAATTTTTTTTTTTTTTAATCGATCACCGGCTGTGAATTCCAGTGGAAGGTCCCGGTTAATCGTCCGCTTGGACTTTTGGCTTTCACCTGGACCTGATTTTTGCGTGTACAACCGTTTTTCATTTCCCTGCCTCATGGGCAGCTGTACTCCGACTTCAAAGGAAGACGTCAGGCCTATTTCTAGGTTGACTGTGGCCATAGTTTTGTGTGGGTCGTGACGGTCAGCCTCTGGATGGTTGCTGTTGTGGTGTACCTCAGCGCGGTGACGACGACACTGAGGGTTAACCGAGGATGTACAAGGATGGCCAGCCTATGGATGGTTGCTGTTGTGGTGTACCTCAGCGCGGTGACGACGACACTGAGGGTTAACAGAGGATGTGCAGTGAACAATGTTCTCTTTACTCTGCATTTAACCAAGGGTTGTAATTTTGGCTGTACGTTTGGCAGACCTACTCATGTTCCTAATGAGTTTTGGTAACATTTTTCACCCAAGCGTTTGGGGGCGGGCTGATGAGAGCCACAAGGACACATCACCTCTGGGGGCCGCCGAACTCCGAGATCCCCTGACAGCTCTGTTAATGCTCATTTGAGACATTATCCGTGGCGCACGACGAAGACGTGCTGTAGGGGTCTTGCGTGAGGTTCCGTACAACCAGGATAGTAAAGGACTGGCGCCCGAGTGACGTACGGAGTATCTCCTTATACACATCAAGTTGGACTTAACTTCCCCTCACGCCTGTGACATAAATCACCGCGCCACTGCAAGGAAATGAAGATGAGGAATTAAAATTACAAATAATTGAAGAAATAAAAATAAAAATGTGAAAGAAATATTAATTATTTTGGTTGATTTTCGTATTAAGTTTCATGGTTATGTCTTGATCTCGTGTCTTTGTTGTTTCTAGTTTATATTGCTTTTGATTTTTTTAATTTTAGTTTATTTCCCACTGCTTTTTTTTTTCAATTTTTTTTTTCTCTGTCTGTCTGCTTGCCTATCTCTCTATGTCTGTCTGTTTTAATTTACTACATATTCTTGTTTGCCTTCACAGGCCGCAATCTCTGGTCAAAAGTTCTGGTTGTTCGTCGACTTTTACAAATCGTTGTTCCTGGCTTGTCAGGCAGATTCCCTCGGGGACCTGCTTGACTATATGTCTGTCTGTTTTCACCATAGATCTCTGATCATTGACACAAATAATACTTTCAACTCTCACAAGCGTGCACATCTATTATACAAACCTGTCTTATACATGTGTAGTCTACTGGTTCCTCGCCTTTTATTCAAATGCATTCGGACTTTAAAAGAAACACTTATAATTCACCTCTTACGACATGCTTGTTTAAAAGCAGTGGATCTATTCCCACTACCCACCACAATAAGACCCCGGAACTGACACGGGAACGCTAACGACAATGTTGTTTAACACTTCCGTTCCAATCCAGGTTTTAAACACAAAATATATTGACCCTCATAGTTCATCATCATAATATCGTATCTTCAAATGTCACATTGGGTTCGCAGTCTAGTCCTCTGTTCTGTGCAGTCCTTTTGACACCAGGGATGGCATCCAGTCGAGCACCTTTGGCCTCTCTAAAAAAATATTCGTCTTAGAGTTTCACTTCAACGTTCTCGTTTCCTCAGTCCATTTGTCTTCCCCTTCATTGTTATTTTGATTTTTGTTGTTGTTGCTGAGTCAGTGTCCCTTTTCGCCGGTCTGTCTGCTCGCCCGATTCTTCTTCTTCTGTCTTCTAGCCCCTGGTGAAGCATAGGCCCTCAACCAACTCAAGAATCGTTCTATCCTCTATCGCTTGCAGCTTACCCCATGACTCCCATCTTTTTAAATTCACACACTAGCTGCCTTCTCCGTGCGTTTCTTTTGGTCTTCCTCTCTTTCTATACCCTGTTGGTTCCAGTGCAAATACATTGTAACTACATTTTTGTAGGGTTTTCTGAACATATGTCCTATCCATTGTCAGTGTCTTTTCTTTACCTCTTGATCCACTGGAACTTGTTTAGTTTTCTCTGCTAACGCTCTACAGTAGCGATTCTAGCATACCATTTTAATTATCTCTATTCTGTGCAGGCACCAGTTAATTAATGTTTCTAGTTTTTTAAACTTGTCTTAGCTGCTCTCCAAGTTTTCGCTCAATACAACAGTTTTGTTTTGACATGAGGATAAAAAAAATCTATCCAGATCGAAAAAGGGATATCTTTACTTTCTTAGCGTCGTCCGTGGCTAAGGCGTTGCGAGTCCGACTCGTAATTCCATTCTAACGTACCGCTATCGAAACTTCGAAACCCACTGCTGGCTGCGTGGATTTTTATCATGGTATGGGGGCGTCGCAAGTCGACCCAGCCTAAAATGGGTACCAGGATACATGTCCCGGGAAAGTGAAGACGGCCGGCGTAATGCTGACCACATTACCCACCCAGTGCCGATGGTCTGTAAAAATATGGGCACTCTTCCCATATACCCCATGCGCCTAAAGGCGTGAAAAGGGATCTTTACTTCACTTTGTAATCCAGACCGAACAGGGGACAGCCCTGTTTGTGAGCGACCCATTTCTTTTGTTCACACACGCAGAAGCAGAGCTACACTTTGATTTTGAGTGAGTGACGTTTAACCCCACCCAGGACCAACAGAACGAGCAATGAACACACGGTGACACAAAGTGCCACCAAATGAATGAGAATCCCCAGTCACTAGGCCCAGAAACCCGATTCAACTGTTCGGTTATATTATTCCCCCGACAACAACCGGGGTGGGGCTTCAAAGTTACAAACAATTGCGACCCAGATTGGGTCGGATTAATGTGCACTTTGATGTTGTGTCGTTCAACCGCACCAGGAACCGTCAGACTAGCGATCAACACTCGGTGACACAAAGTGTGACCATTTGGGTGAGAACTCTCCAGGCGCTAGTCCCAGAAGTCCGGTTCGATCAGTATTAAGACACCGACATTAACCAGGGCGTGGCTTTAAAATAAGAAACAATTGCGGCCCGTATTGTGTTTGATTAACATGCACTTCGAGTTTTAGTAGGTTCTCTACCTGTGGCAGAACGGTTAGAACGCTGGGCTGTCAAGCGGGATACCCAGGTTCGAATCCTCGTTAAGGCTAAAGTTTTTTTTTTTTGTCTGGGGCTAAATAAAATCCTCACCTGCACAGTCCGTGACGACTGCACTAGCCAAGCGGCCGTAAATCCTGAGGCTCAAATACCCCCTTGCCTACACTACAAACGTGGTCAAATCAAGTTAGTAACTGGCAGTTTTGGGAGTCTCAATCTGCTGCTTCTCTTTATCTGTTCAATCATCGCCATCTCGTATGGTCTCTACAATACTGCCCATGATTCGTGCTATGGAGAGCCCCAAAGGGCATCCATCCTCTATG